GTATTTACGGTGGTTTCTATGTGTTTTACATACCCAAGAAAGACGGAGGTAGATCATGGGGGGGGGCTGACCATATATATATATATATATATATTTATTTATTTATTTATTTATTTATTTATTTATTCATATTTACTTATATTTATGTACATATGCGTGTGTATATACGTGCACACATATGCTCTCTTGCACACAAACACACACACACACACACAAACAAACAAACAAACAAACAAACACATCCATGCATGCATGCATGCACGCAGGCACGCCGGCATGCAGCTACGCACGCGCACCAAGAGTTTCTACAAGAACAGCAACACTTCAGGATGTGGCCCGTAATGCTGCAGCAAGCCACCGATGTTGCAGCAGCGACATGAAGTACTGGACCATCTTTGTAGCCCAGTCTGCCACAGGGACTCGAAGGCTGTCGTAACTGTGGTAAGCTTTCAATTCAAAGGTGCGACGTCCAGCTGCCCAAGCCCAGAGCCTTACGCGCTCGCCAACCACCAACCCAATCTTTAACTATCCCCAATGGCCACAAGGGATAAGTCTTGGTAGGCACCGCCGCCCAGCAGTTTTGGTGCCATCGTAGCCTCGTTCTTTTCGGATTTGCACACAGAAATTTCGAAGAGCAGAACGATGCTGGCCCACTGATTCAAGCCCGGGTACCGAACATCTGCCCGGCCGTCAGCAACGCGCCACGAAAAATGAGAGGGGAACAGCCCCGCCAGTAGTCGCTCAGGTGCACCTGCAAACCCTTGGGGTCCTTTAGAGGTGGCTTCAAGCACCGATTCAGACCTCTTTGGAAGCTTAATAAGAGGGCCCGAGACTTGACGACCATCAAAATCTGAAGCTGAGATCCTTTAAAAAGCATGGAGGCGCAGGGTAGATCTGCACGGCTGTAGAAGCGCCATCGGCAGCAAATTGCACTGCGGCCTTGTAGCTTTGCGAAAACTTGCTGACTGCAGGCAGATCTTGAACATCACCAGCCGTCGTTCCCCCGGTGCAGAACAACAACCTGTTCGCATCTTGGAGAAAGACAGAAAGCACAACTCGGTTTCAGGTCCGTCTGGCTTCTGCAGAGCACTTTGACGATTTGCCGAAGCTTGGTTCCGAGACTTCCCTGTCTTTCCCACAGAAGACGCACCTGCATTCGTGTCTTCACAAGCCAGAGAGGGGCTCCGGTGAAGTAGGCAAACGACCTGCACCAATCGGAGGGACTTGGTTCCGAGGCGATACAGGGCAAAAGCAGGTCTGGCCCTGACATCAAGCCGGCGCCGATCATAGCTGCACTGGACTTCTGCCCATCGCTCGGCAGCAAAGTCTGCAGGGCATCCTGAAGCGAAGGGTGCTCTCAGGCCTCTCAACTGCTGGTGTCGGCCCCAGGCCTGGATGACATGTGCGAATGCAGATCTGCAACTGCAACCAACGTGCTTCTGGACCACTGCCCCTTTGCGCAACCCTAAGGGCCATCTTTCGGGCAAGCTGCTCGCGCGGTGGGGTAAAGGCCCATTCTGAGCCCTTGGGACACAGCCACGGCGCACCTGAAATCTCTACGAACAGCGAAACCTCAAAACCTAAACAGAGCTCCACCAGAAAGGAGCCGGACAATGAGCAACCGCTTAAAACGACGGAGGCCAAAAAAGAGAGCTGCCAACATTTAACATGCAAAGGTCCGGAACCCATGGCCTCGGCTGTATTTTTGCCTCCTCGGGCTGATTCGAGTGCTAGGGCTCGGTGAACCATGTATCCCTTTTCCGCCCGCGAAAGCCATTTGGGCCAAACGTGTGGGCCGCCAGACGGGCCCATTGCATGTTGATAAAGTGGAGGACAAACTGTCATCTCAAAACAGCATGGCATACAATGGCTTACACTTCACGACAGATGATGTGTTCACCATCACACACACACACACAGATAGACACTCACACCGCGGGCCGTACCTCTCTGTCTCTATGCGTATGCCCCTAAAATCTGCAAATTGTCTGCAAGGTGTCGGTACTGCTTCACCACATCACAACAATTGCAAAGCTTTGAGAGTCGGCTTGTCATCGTAGCAGGATGAGGGCTTCATCTTCTGCTGCATGCCAGCTGTTGAGCTGTTTGCTGTCTTCCTTCTCGCTACATAGCAAATCCACTGTAGCCAAAATGCGAGATGGCCTCGCCCAAAATCCAACAACGACGGCTACTCGACTCACTGGAAAACCTTTCTTGCAAAAGACAATAGATTGACTGGCCCGAACAGACCATGGCACCTGGCCCTACGATGGTCACGATGTCCACCATTCCGATCTGAAACAAATTCCCAACATGCTGACCTGCTGGAAAAGCCAGCCGCCTGCTGCTCAACATCTTGATGAAGGAAAGAACTTCTAGCCCAACCATGTGCCAACAGCTCACACCACGCACTGAGCTGCGCACATCTGTGCTTATCAGGCAGAAAGACCCAGAAGTAAATGACACCTTGATCCCAAAGCCTTAATAGTCAAGAGTTGCCGAAGGGCATGTTGAAAGGAAGCCCCGGTCTCCACAAGCCCTGCCAGAGGCCCTCTTTTCGAAGCAGCTCCTGGAAGCGAAAGGCTTGCAGGAGCGCGTGCGTGAACACCGCAACTGCAGCGAGATTCGGAAAAATACGCCACCCAAGACCCCAAACAAAAGCAATGCCTGGTTTTGACTTCAAGAGACTACATGAAGGCAATGGGAGAAAATGGCCGGGGAATCAACAAGCCTCGTACAGAAAACACAAGGAGACAAAGGGGGACGGCCACCCTGGGCAGTCTCAAATCAAGTGAAGGTGCAAATGGTCAAAGGCTGCTCAATCTCATACTCTGCACTCCGCCAAACTCTCTAGACAGTTCTCTAGTCCCTTTCGAGCGGTTTCCCTTGTCAGTCCTTCAAACACGTTTCGATAGGCTTGCTACTTTTCCTGGTGCATTGCACGTTCGCAAACTCTCTCAAACAGTCCCGAGTCTCTTTCGAGCGTTTTGCTCCTGCTCCTTAAATGTGTTTTCCGAGCGCGTTTCGACTGGTTTGCTCCTTTTCCTGACACTGTGTCAAACTCTCTAAAATAAAAAACATAACCTCGTTCGAGCGGTTAGCTCGTGCTTCTCAATGTGCTTTGTAAGCTTCGATTGGCTTGCTTTCAATTTCTTCTGTGGTCCAGGTTCTCTAAACTGCTTCAAGTGGTTTGCTCCTTCTCAAACTGTCTAGTCCCTTTTCACGGGTTTACTTTTCTTTCTCACTGTCGCCCTCTTGTCAAACTGGACCATCTCTTTCCAGCCACTGGGTTGCTATGATAATCTAATCCCTTTCGGCTGGCTTGATCCTGTTTCGCAACTTCTCTGCGCTAGCTTTCGAGCGTTCTCGGCATCGTTCTTATTTTTCGAGCGTTTCTTGCTCCTCTTTCTGGGGCTCTCTCATCTCTTTCGAGCGGCGTACTACTGTTTCTCAGTTTTGTGCTCCCATTTTTGTCGAGCGGTCTGCCTCTGCCTCACAACTTGCCCAGTACCTTTTGATTGCATGACAAGCTCGCCGCTAGTGAGACATTCTGGGCTTGCTACTGGCTGAAAGATTCTAGTCACATGACTGGTTCGCTCCGCTTTCTCAGATTCTCCCCTTTTTCCAAACTACAAGAACCTTTCGCACACTTTGCTCGACTTCTCTCAATTTTCTTGTGACATTCGAGGTGTTTGCTCCTGTTTCTCAACCTCCCCCTCTTTGCCCAGGTCTGCTACTCCCCATCGCTTTTTCTGATCCCTTTCCGACTTTGCGCTCATCTTCGTCATGTTTGCACTTCGTCAAACTCGCAAAAAGTCTGGTCTCCTTTGAGCGGTTTGCTCCTGTGCCTCAAACCTTCAACTGGTGAGTTCCTCGTTCTCAAATTCTCATCCTGTTCCAACTTCTCCCAGCCCTGTCGAGCGTTGTGGTTTCGTTTCTCCAATCTCGACTTTCGAGCGACCCGCTCGTGTTTCTCAAATTCTCCTAATCCCTCTTCAGCTCTCCTCTTGGTCATGCTGCACAACGCGGGCTCGAGACCCAGCCCCTCCATTGCATCGCCAAGGTGCTGCAGTGAACTTGGCGAAAGTGGTCTCAGCGACTGAGACTTGCCAGCGTATTCGGAGGCAGTCGACTGGATTGAAGATCGCCTTGGCTGCATTTCAACTGCAAACTTCGAAAACCCCTCCTCTTGTTCAGGCCTTGTTTCAACCTTTGGTGCCCTCCACCCAACTTGCATAGTTGCTGGCTGCACCCAGCCAGCCATGGCCGCCGCCAATGTGTTGCGGCCAATGTCGTCCGGAGCCATGGGCGCGAACACGACGTTTTGGAAGAGATGCACTCTAGAGGGGACGAGGGTCTATGTGGCTTTCGAGCTTTCCCTGGAAAACCGTGGTGAGGAAGGCTCTGGGATTGCAAAAGCAGCAACAGATCGCGCGCTGCAATTTGGGGGAGCATGTCGATGCCTTAGCGTTGCACCTCACTTGTTGGTCGGGCTCTCGCCGGCCATCGCCAGGCTATCTAGCCGTTAGGTACTCGGCTCGCGGCAAAAGACCTTGAAACTCAGAAGCTTTTCTGCGATGAACCATTCAAGCAATGAAGTGTCAGGTGCCTCACTCTGAGCATCTTTGGCTTATCCTGTCACCTGGGTCCTGAGCTAGTCCTGGAGTGTTGGGGGCACAGGACATTTCGTGTCAGCCGCCGTCTTGTGCGGCAGCATCAGCATCGTTAACCGTAGACTAACTGGAAGCACAAGGGTGCGCCATGTTCGCTGAGAACGAAAGCTCGAGAAGCTCCGTCCAGTCTACACCCGGGAAGTATCATCCCAGGAGCTCTCATTGAGGAGCCGATCCTGAAGCACTGGTTCGCGGGACTCACCTTTGCCAGATCATAAATCTGGGTACCGATGCCTTCAGTCGATACTGCTGCGGATGGCTCCAATAGTTAGATACATATGATTTGTTGAGAATGGGGCCATCAGACCTTCTAAGTCCCCCATCTCCCCAACTCTACATGTTAGCATCTCTGACTGAACCTGTCCTGCACCCGGTCGCGGCGAACTTGAGCCTGGGGATGGAGAAGCCGAACTTTCAAGTTCAGCTATGCTTTGTGACGCGCGTGTCTCACTGCAGGATGGAGGCTCTAGACACGCTCGCCCCCTTCCGCACAGCACGACTCTGAGGCCTCAAAGAACCATTTCGAGAGAACTCCAGATTATAGTTTACAGAAGCATCCCGGGGCTTCTCCGAAACCGCACCCAGGCATGGCCACTCAGAGCCTCCAAACGCCTGAGCCGGATGTGTCCGTGGAGTGTGCACTCCGCCCCATCGGAGGATCGGAGTGGAAAGGGGCCCTCCGCAAAGCCGCCTGCAGGATGCAGATCTCTGTCATATTGCTCCATGCTAAGCCCCGGGTTGTGGGCCTCCTTGGACCACAGCATCCAGGTTTGCCTCGAATCGCGCTGTGCTGGACCCATCCTCTCCTCCAAACACAGGGCTGGGGCTTTCACTCACTTCCGTTACCTCAAAGGCAAACAAGGCCGCACTCTACCACATCTCGGTGCAGCACGCGGCTTACTGGCTTACGACGGTTCTCACAATGTCAGAGGCAAGGGAGTCCAGGAAGATAAAGAACTAAACCCGCGTCCCACAAGCTCGATCATCAGTTGGTCTGTCGGCTTAGCTCGCAGATGGCAAACCTTGGATTACAGCGTAGGCTTGTGGTCATGAAGCACAGCTACCAGGTTAGTTCGACGATGCATTGGAGAACCAATACTTCGAGGCAGACCAAACGATGGTCGCGCGCAGCTTCTTCGAGATCTGCGGCCCTACGCACGATGCAGCTTCTCTAGTTGGAGCGAGGCGTTGGATCTAGGGTTCGGCGCTTGCTGTAATTTACTGCAAGAGGACAGATTGCTCTCTTCTCCTACGCATCACAAGGTTTTCCGTCAGAAGTGCTACCAGAACCGGGACCCTGACAGTGTTTGATAGTCCTGACACAGCTCCACAAATTGGGTTCGACCGTCCCATCTCCGACTCATCGGACTGGCCCAGGCCGAGGGACGTGGTCGAAATGTGGGTTCCTTACTCTCAGACTCAGGTTCAGAACTGTAGATGCCAGCCAGCTTTTGTTGGAAGGGCTTGGGCTGTAGCGATTTCATGGCTAGGATTATGAGTGGCAGGTCTTGCAACCT